AAGTATTAGGTATACAGATACATTGGGGGAAAAGTAATATGAGTTTCAAAGGACTGGGATTTTTGTTAGGGGACCTTACCTCAAAGGCCCTCTCCATATTGTGGCACCAACCTGTGCTAGTTACAACACTATGCTTCAGGGCACCCCTGAGGGTATGTCTACACTACAAAATTACGTTGACTCAAGTTATGTCAGCATACAGCCACCACAGTAATTAAATCACTTTTGCATTGCCACACTACATGCCTTGTGTTGGCGGTGCCCATCCTTACCATGAGCACTTGTATTAACTGAACTATCATAGAGTCATCAAATCATTGAGAGGTAATCTAGTCCAGTACCCTGCACTCAGGGTAAGGCTAAGTATTATCTAGACCAGTGGTTGCCAAACTTGTTCCACTGCTTGTGCAGGGAAAGCCCCTGGTGGGCCACATCAGTTTGTTTACCTGCTGTGTCTGCAGGTTCGGCCGATCGCAGCTCCCAGTGGCCGCAGTTCGCTGCTCCAGGCCAATGGGAGCTGCTGGAAGCAGCGCAGGCAGAGGGATGTACTTTCCCTGCAAAACTGGTGGAACAAGTTTGGGAACCACTGATCTAGACCACCCCGACAGGTGTTTGTCTAACCTGCTCTTAAAAATCTCCAATGATGGAGATTCCACAACCTCCCGAGGCAATTTATTTCAGCTCTTAACCACCCTGACAGGAAGTTTTTCCTAATGTCATAGAACCTTAGAATCATAGAATATCAGGGTTGGAAGGGACCTCAGGAGGGCATCTAGTCCAACCCCCTCTTCAAAGTAGGACCAATCCCCAACTAAATCATCCCAACCAGGGCATTGTCAAGCCTGACCTTAAAAACTTCAAAGGAAGGAGATTCCACCCCCTCCCTAGGTAACGCATTCCAGTGCTTCACCACCCTCCTAGTGAAAAAGTTTTTCCTAATATCCAACCTAAACCTCCCCCACTGGCAACTTGAGACCGTTACTCCTCGTTCTGTCATCTGCTACCACTGAGAACAGTCTAGATCCATCCTCTTTGGAACCCCATTTCAGGTAGTTGAAAGCAGCTATCAAATCCCCCCCCCTTCCACAGACTAAACAATCCCATGTCCAACCTAAACTGCCCTTACTGCAATTTAAGCCCAGTGTGGGGCATTGTGGAACAGTTTCTGAAAGCCAGTAACAGTCGTTGGAAGCAGTGCAGGGTCTACACTGACACTGTGTCAACCTAACCACATCAACATGGACTCTATACTTCTTCTGGAGCGGAGTTATTAAGTTGGTGTAGCAGGGCAGTTACGTTGGCAGGAGCAAAATTTGAGTGTGGACACTTACATAGTTAGATCAAGGTAAGCTGCCTCACATCAACCTAACTCAGTAGTGTAGAGCAGGCCGGAGTTAATGAAAATGATGCTGGAGATTCCACAATAAGGGCAGTCCAAAAGGACATTCATTGTTGCTTCTCTGAGTGGGAAGAGAGAAAATGGTGATGAACAGACAGACTCTACCTGGGCACTCCCCTGAGGGGAGTAAAGGACAACACGTGAAAGGACTTCAAGGCTGCCTTGAGACAAATCAACTGTCTTCCTAGCATATTATTTTTGTTACCCAGTCTTCCTCCTCCCCTCCATCCAGGCTCCCTTGTTTGTCTGTAAGCAATTGGGGGCAGGGACTGTTTACTACGTATTTGTACAGTATCTAGCACAATGGGCCCCTGAACTGGTTGGCCTTTAAGCACTACCATGATACCAATGCTAATTCTCCAAGAGTTGTTGGGCTAGATACTGGAATTACTGATGACACTCTAGCCTGTGTTCTGCAGGAGGTCAGACTAGATGATCATAATGTTTCTTTCTAGCCTTCAGATCTATTAAAGTCTTGCCTGATTGCAATTCTCCAGCTAACATATATTGAATATAGATATATATATTTATATTAAATTCCATTACACAGTTCAGCTAAAATTACTAGCTCTAGTATAAAGTGATTCAAAATTAATTTAAATATAGTGCTAAAAATTTCTCTTACATGGTTGAATAATTACTGTGATACAGTTTCAATAGGGCAAAGACCAGAAATGTCTCATATGAATATCAATAATAGAATACCAACTGGATGGGCATTTTAAGACAATATAGCTCATTACATGTAAAGTAAGCCATAAAACAAGCCCACTACAGAAACAGAGTAAAAAGATTTAAATAAGCAATGTAAGATAAGTTAAACAAGCCAGTCACTAATTTATATTTTACAATAGCTTTGGATAACCACATTGTTTATAATCCATGTGTGCTTAATGTTTTAAATGTACAACCTCATTTTAAGCAACATGCCTAGCTTATTTCAGCTAGACAAAATAACTTTCTGCATTTCATCACTTTGTTTAAAGTGTGCAATTAATTTGCATGTGTGAATTTAGTGTGTGAAAAAGTGATAGATAAAGCTAGAGCTAAAATAGTTTGGAGTGAATAGATAATTCACTAAATTTTGCCTTTTCTGTTTGTAAATTTTCTGTTGGATGCTCCTTATTTTCTTGAATGGGTTCATTATTCAAATGATTTCTACAAGCAATTTTCTAGCTATAGACCATTTATGATCAATTTGCTATGAGTATTCTGTTTTTGAAATTTGAGCAATGATCGCTAGCTTTGATTGGACACAGAAGTCACATGACACGATTCTATTCCCTAACTGGATAAATGTGAGTCTTTGAATGAGGCTGTAGTGGGAATATTTGATGTGAGAATTCAAGGTTTGATTTCCATTAATTTACTAAAATGCTCACTTTTTCAGTGAACATCCCTGCTGGTAAACTCATTTGCTGGAATACAAAATGGGTGAGACTACAGCTGGAGCTTATTTGAGGACAGTTTTGGAGGGATTCACCCATCTTAGTTTCAATCTCCAAGACTTTCAGTATATCTTCTCTTTATCCATAGGGCACGTACAGCACAGGCTTCCCTGTACTACCTGGTCAGCATGCCTCTGCTCTCCTGGAACGACCACCTCTAGGGAAACATTTACAACAGCACTATTCCCAACATTTGCCTACCGCTGATGCTGCTCCATCAGTCACAGCATTGGTGTAACTGCTAGAGAATGTAGGATTGCAGGTGTTTTCACCATCAGGTCACACTCTGAACACAATTCAACAATGGGGTGATAAAGACAAACTCATGCATGCTCTGTTTTAGGCTTATACCATTGGCAACTCTTGGAAGTACACCACTGGTAGACAAACAGTGCCAAAAAGCTAGTGTAGACAAGGCTCTAGGGCAGAAAAGTCTCCATGGCCCATTCAATCCTTGGTCTCTCTGCTGGGGCTTTCAGTAAATTCTAACTGTGTTTCAGTAAATTCTAACAGGTGCCTCTGCACTGTCACCCAAGAAAATACTCTCTCTATTTGTATTTTGATAAACTGCCCTCTCCTAATATAATTTAACAGTCCAATTCCTGGAGGGGCAGTATGATAAATTTTAAGCCACTCTGTTTCCCAGATCTCATTCAGCAACACAATCCACACACAGCTACCTGCAATGCTCACAAGACAGCCTATAATTCATTACTACTGTATGGGTCTGAGAGGCGAGGTTGATAGGTTCTTTTGGCTCTCAAAGACTCAGCAATATTAATTAAAGTCAACCAAGAATTTTATGCAGTGGAGAAAGAAAGCAGTGGGGATGACAGGAAGCAGTAAATAAACAGAGGCCAAAACAGCTGAAGGAAGCTTATAAGGTCATCAGCTACACTGGAGTGGTCACCAGCCATGCTGCAAGGGATGGGATATGTCAAAGGAAGGGAAGATTAGCTGCAGCTATTATGAGATGGGAGGGACTGAGGGAGCTGCGATTATTTAATGGAATGACAGATGGTTTGGTGGTTAAGACACAGAAAATGTTAGTTCTGTTTTTGCTGCAGACTTCCTTTGTGACATCAGGCAAGTCATCTAGGTGTTTGAGATCACCAACTGGAGTGAGGGCATGAATTGACACAATTAGATTCGTTATGCATTGGGAGTGGAAGTACCTCTGAAGTAGCTAGTTATGGGACTCATCAATGTCAAACTGAGGATATCAGAATAGGTGGAGCATGTCTGTTCTTATATGCAAATTCCTGTGTTCCTTCTCTTGCCTAAAGTAAGCAGAGATGGGCAATTTTGTAAAGGCTCCATGTCTACGGCCAGTCCTCTGAAGCATTCTGGACCTTTATCCTCAAGAAACACTGCTATGAGTGAGCCAGTGGCCATTATGGCCCAACTAGGCCCAGAGAGTTAAATAAAAGGCCAAGATGGAAAGAGGATTATCCGTAAGTGAATTTTTCCCCAACAATTTTTTTTATTGTGGTGTAGACAAAATAGTGAACTCACCTGCAGTCCCTAAGTACTTTATCCCGCTCCTAAGAATTGTCCCAAAAGCTCAAGCCCATGTCCAGTTAAAGAACCAAGGCGCTACTATTCCAAGAGAAAGATATACCATACAGGGACTGAACAAACCCAGACACAAGCAAAGCCTGCAGTTTCGTTTTCTTTCTGCAGTTCCAACATTTATTTCAAGACTAGAAGTTTAGAAAGGAGAGAGAAAAGGAATGAAGGAGGAAAGTAAGTGAAATAAAATTTATGATCTCCAAAGTGCTAACATCCACAAGTCTGTGAAGTTGCTCATTAGTCAGACTTGTTCTGTCCAGTCCTACCATTCCTTCCTACTATGGCAGTTTGTCATGAGGACATTGGGTCGGGTCACTGGAACAGAACTGCTCAGTGCTATCACAATACAGCCCTTACAGCTGAATATATTATTATTATTATTACTACTATTTATATTGCAGTAATAGCTAGGAGCCCTTGTCATGGATCAGGACACAAAACACAGAACAAACAGATAGTAAGCTCTTTGGTGCAGGAATCTTGTAAGTTGTTATTGTAATTGTAGGTGAGTTTTTGAGTGGGAGGGAGTATGAAACACTGTATAAACAGGGGGGGTATGTCTTCTCTATTCTGTATTTCAGAATGGCTTTTGATTTGTTATGCAAAGATGACTTACTGCGCCCCAGGATACGAAGCGCTTCGAGCCTGACCCTCAGAAGCCAGAGCAATTACCAGACGCCACCTCTGACAGAGCTTCAACTCCTGCTGTGGGCACATCAACCTTCCACTGGCCATGTGAATGAAGTCTGGCCAAACCTCTACGTGGGAGACTTGTAAGTGAGATTCTTCTAAAGAACCTGACCTCAAAATGAGACAAGAACTAGGAGATAAATGGGGGCTCTGTCAAATGAAATCACCTGAGAATGGAAGGTTTGGGAATCATCTGTTAATGGGGGGCCCAATCCTTGGGCCTGGTTGAACTATGCCTAGGGCAGGATCTAAAGGACAGGGGAGGAGAAGCCAGCTTTACGCCTCCTCTAATCCTAAAGCCAAAAGTGAGCATGGACCGCATCTCCTCTGTGGTGGTAGAGAAGCACTGCATCAGGACTGCATCAGTACAGCAGCTAGGCACGCTACCAGTGCTTAAATAATAATGATACGTTTTTAAAAGTTTTCTTGGAAAAAATGTGGGTTTTCCAATGAAAACCTGAAAAAAACCTGATGGAAATGAAAAATTCACAAGAGCCAGTTTGTGCTGAAAAAAACATATTGATGGGGGGAAAATCGAGCCGTGCCAGTTTGCTGGTATTTCAAAGCACCTAGCGTCTGCACTGTAACAACAATCAGCACAGTAGCCGACAGCAGCACAATTCCACTATAGTTCGGCCCAGAGGTTTGTAGGGCAGTGGGCAGAGAAATCCTTGCACAACACCCTGCATACTCAAAGTGTTCCTTCTTTCAGATTTACAGCTCGGGACAAAGAGCAGCTGCGCCGAATGGGTATCACCCACATTGTGAATGCTGCAGCTGGCAGATTTCATATTGACACTGGAGCTAAATTCTACAGAGACCTGCCTGTAGATTATTATGGAATAGAAGCAGACGATGATCCACATTTTGATCTCAGCATTTACTTCTATCAGGCTGCCAGATATATAAGAGCAGCGTTGAATTCTCCACGAGGTAACAACACTGGCTATGCATGTTACGTGGCTTCAGCATAAAAACAAGCAGAGCAAGTCATCAGCTAGCATTCAGCACAAGCAGATTCCAAGTAGAGATGGGTGGGAATTGAAATACCTAATCCACCTGGTCACACAGCCACTACCCATAGTCCCACAGCTAGTCTGGTAAGCCAGTTAGTGAGTAGTTTCTCACTCAAACCTTAGCCCTGCCAAGAGAAGGAGACACAAAGCCTCGCTACAACTGAAATCTACTTTTATATCTCCCACTATGCTCACAACTTACTCTTCATGGAAGTGCTTCTCCAAAGCCTAGTGACACAAAGACTCCTATGGACTTCAGTGGGGTTTAGATCAAGTCCAGAGTCTCTTTCTGTGGCATTTAGAGATCCAAATCCTGAACCCCAGTACTCAGTTGGAGCAGCCAGGCTGTGTGCTGTGGGGGAAAATAAGCTGCACGCAGTTAGTGTGGCTACCGCCAGCCCACAACACAGGAATAAGGGCATCTTTAAGACCCATCTTCATAGGTCTCACAATTACAGTAACATCTCTGCTAATTCACTGTGAAGATTCAGTGCCCACCAGCACTCATAATTGCTCCCAGCACCTGTGGAGTGATCTGTCCCTGGGGTGTAGTATATAGCATGCAGAGCCATTAGACTAGCATGTCTTTAAACCACAATCACACACCCCTATGCGAGTGCATTTTCTGCAGGTTACAGATCACAGTTTCTTTACATCTGGTCCCTGGAAAAAATAGAGGCAAATTTAAAAGATGTGGCACTATGGGTGGGAATAAACATCACCAGCCCTTATGCACCAGCAAGAAAAACTCAAACTTCTCATGAGGAAAAAGAGATCATAGAATATCAGGGTTGGAAGGGACCTCAGGAGGTCATCTAGTCCAACCCCGTGCTCAAAGCAGGACCAAATCCCCAATTTTTGCCCCAGATCCCTAAATGGCCCCCTCAAGGATTGAACTCACAACCCTGGGTTTAGCAGGCCAATGCTCAAACCACTTTCAAATTTGCAGTCTACTTCAATGCCAGGAAGCCAGTGGTCTGAAATATTATACGGCACAGAAGAATTTAGGGCCAGATTTTTCAAACAAATGAGGTATGCAGCTGTACACTCAGCATTCGAAGTAATTAGCATGATAGCAAATGTGGGGGAAAGGTGTTGCCATTTCTTGAGCTATGGTCGGCCCCTTTTGGCCCCCTAGGGGAGAGCAGGTTGCATCTGCTTTCTGCCAGGACAATCTTCGTGAGTGGACTCTCTCTGTGGTCAGGAGGCATATACCCTGTGGTGAATCCAGATAGTTAAGTGCAAATCTTTAACGGGAGGGTTTTCCACAGCACCACAAAGTTAAGTGATTACAGACTTACACAAATGGTAATTATGCACCTAAAGGCCTGTTCTGTTTCAACAATTACAAGGTTTTACAGCAACATAGATCCTAAACAGTAATTATTAGGGTAGGATGTACCTGACATCAAGGTCCATAGCTACTACACTCTAGGGTTAGTCCTAAGCAGCAAAATTTGGACCTGGATTGTGAGCACCCAGAAGTTCAGAGGCTATTTGGAAGACTTGATCTGTCCCATCATAAAGATTTACTTGGGCTTTGAAAAGCTGAGGTCTATGTTTGGCATTCAAAACCACCACCAAAGTTGAGGGAGTTTGGATCTGGACCCATTTCTACTACAGTGTGTGCTATTTACAAATTAAGTCAGCCCCCTGAAGAAAGGTAGACTCCATTGTAAATTCTAGCATAGAGAATATACAAAGGAATAAAACATGAGAACCAAGCTGACTTACAGGCTCCCTTCCCCTCAGATAATGTTAGTACAACTTTGCCCACAAAGGAAATACAAAGCCTTTCTGGGTACATTCCAGAATACTGAAAGTGGAACAGTTAAGAAAATAGCCTAGATTGTTGCCCCATGGAACTACAGTATGGGTATAAGGTAATCACAGCTGAACTAATCATAGCTAGAATTGATATTTAGTCCGAGTGTTACGGCTACAGATATTACTTTACTGAACTCCCCGAGTCCACATGCCAGAAGGAGCGCTGGAAATGGAGAGAAAATCAAATTAAAAAAACCACTCAATCCAGCTGCTGCTGACAGTCATCATTTTAAGTTGTTTTTTTTTTTTTAAGGGGTGGCAGAGTTTGATACATATACAAACAAGATGTTCTGGAAGCACAATTCCCTGAGCTACAGCAACTCAGCAGCTCAATATCCAGGGCCTGCACAGGAAAGAAAGGAGGGATGGGTGTGTTATCCCATCCCGTATCTTTTAGAAGAGGGGGGGAAAAATAGCTGCATTTACTTAAAAGTACTGATGCACAACAACAGAAATGTACCAGGTGACACGAGGGCCGTTCATTTTAAAGTCAGGATATACCATGGTATTTTTGTTTGATCGAGAAACTGTTTGGTAGAACTCCCACTTAATTATGACTAATTAGTTCCACCCAGCTTTTTAGAAGGTATTTTTTATTAACTTCTTCATCCAGGATGATACTGAGTCACATTTAAGTATATATGATGCACACACACACATACTGGTTGTTTTAAGCTGTGAATCAAATACTTTATCTTTAGAATTACACTTGAGGCCAGATTCTGTTCTGTTACGCCATTGTAAATCCAGAGTAATGCCACTGAAATCGGAGTGACTCCAGATTTACGCTAGTGTAACTGATCAGGAGATGTTCCCAGTGGGGTAGGTTTGGTTTTGTTTGTCTTCAGTGGGAGCTCTATTGTATCCTTAAAGGGGAACTGTTGTCTTAAGCATTGGACACTCTTGACCTCCTTTCCACCAATACTGTTCTGGAGTATTGGTAAGTAAAGGAGCATCTGTCACCCTCAATGTGCAACCTCTTACATCTTGACTGTCACAGAGGCTGCTGCTGTAGCCAGGCCATGAGAGCACTATTTTATGAGGTGCCACCATTCCAGCTTCTTTGGCTTGTGCCCTGCTTGAAAACCAGCCACCCCGTACCTGCATGGCCCTATGGCACACAGTCAGTACAACTGTTGGTTTCAACTGACAATGTAACTACCATGGTAGTTTGAGAATCCCCATTCATGGGTCAGCAAGTGAGAGGAGTCTCCTCCAAGCAAGCTAATCCATGCAGCCAGAAATGTTTCCGGCTGATCTTTTACTGAACTTGTTTGCTTCAGATAGGAGAAGGCGCTAGGGGAGAGAACACCACCATGAATATCAATTTCGCCCCTTTGCATGGGAATGTGTACAATTTGCATTTTTTCAGACTATAACTAAACGTGAATGCACATCTGCAGGTTTTGATAAAGTCTGCAGAAGGAGAAAAATAATCTGTGGGCACAGATGAGAGAAGTCCATGGACAATTATTAGACTATCTGCATGCAGAGAAAGGTTTGCAAATACAGGATTTTCCTTTTATTGGTCTGTGCACATATTTTAAACAAGCAGATGAAAACCATCAATTAACTCATTGAAATTATGGGTGCTCAGAAAAGACCATTCTTCTAACATCGTGCTGGTGGAAATGCAAAAGTTGGTCTCCCCATAAGGGAGGCAGAGCGGCCCAGTGACTTAACAAGAATTTTCCTCCTTGAATCAGCTGCAGGCTCATTAGGCATGTCACTTAACCTCTCACTTTCCCCACCTGATCACAATTCTTAGCCACATCTGTAGAGCATTTTCAAACCCCCAGATAAAAGGCGCGATACAGCATAAGGGCTTGTCTACACAGCACAGCAAAGTGTGTTAGAGGGGCTGATTTCTAAAGCGTTGTGTACTAACTGTCCCCTGTATGCCCTGCTGGCATGAACCAAAAGTTCCCTTGGGTGCATTAACGTAGAAATCACATTCCTCTAGTGAGCATTGCTATGCCATGTAGGTGAGCCCTATGTTGGAAGTCGGCCTTTGCTATTGTTCAGCTGATAGTAAAGACACAGATAATTGGTTCTGCCCATAGCTTTATGGTAGTGGGTAAAATGAAACAAGTGATGAGAAAAACAAGGGTAAGTGAGAAGATTCACAGATACGTAGAATAGGCCAGATCCTCAGCTGTTGTACATTGATGTTACTCCACTGAAGTCAATGGGGCAGGGCCTATTTACACTGGCTGAAGAGCTGGTTCACGGTTTTAACCCAAATTAGCTCAGTCCTATGAGGAAGCAAAGGCTAATTCAAGGCATTCAGCTCAGTTAATGATGGGTAACAAAAAGGACAATCAGATCTTATGTGCTGTAATGTCTAATTTGTTTAACAACATTTAATTTTCCAACTTGAATTTGGCCAACAAAGTTGAATTTGCCAAATTCATCCCTGGTGAAGCCCTGTCAAGTCAGTGGAGTTACATCAGGGACGAATCTGAGATAATAGCCATAATCCGTTGTTAGAAAGGAAGTATTACTGTTCTATGCAAATCCCAATCAGATGACACGTCTTCATCCATCCATGGCATGTCTAGTTTTCTGCTTACTCTATTTTGGGAATGAGGACCTGGAGCATGGATACCAGACGCCAAGGTGTCTTTACTAGCTGCTTCCCTGCTAGAGGCTTAGGTAATATTCTGCCATCAGAAGTGCTCAGGTCTGCCATCCAGAACATACCCATTTCAGGCTCTATTCAGTAAAACAAGTGCAATACATCATGGTGAGTTCAGATTGCACTTATCCCATTTATATCAACTGCTATCAGACAAGGATCACAGCCTGTAAGAAGAGCTAAATAGCAACATGGCTTTTTTCCCCCTTACTCAAGTTTAACATTCATTTGTTTGCTGCAAAACAATCACATAGTAAATTAAAATCCTCTTTCATTAGAGCAATTTCACACTAATGAAATCATTTCATGTGAATGATTTATCTGCATCAAACAGTCACTTTATTGTCAGCAACAGAATTCATCCTAATCTCTATGCAACAAAGGACAGCAGCCAGGAATAAAGACTGAAAATATAAAGGAGGTAAATTATCTTAATCTACATGCCATGGTGATGAGTGCTTTAGAAAGCTAGGTAGATTAGCTCTAAAGCCAATCATAGGCTGGTCTAGGGTCTTGGTGGGAGACCTTCAGAAACTAATAGCTGATATGAAAAGGAGTCATTTAAAGTGAAGATATAGTCAGAGAAGCAAATATGAAAAATCAGCACCTTCTTACTGCCTCCATTCTCTCTTTGTATTTGAGACATATCTACTCACTCACTGATAAAATCAAAGGTCTGCTGCTCCTAGCCCTGAAGAGGAGAGGGACCTCTGGCTTTATCCTGCATCCCTAACAAAAAAGGGGTCAGGTAAGTTCCAGTGGTGGAATCTTTGGGGGTGCATAAGGAGGAAAACACACAGCTTGGTCTCCAGACCCCAGATTAAATGTGGAGACTGACAGGGGTGCTGGAACAATTTTTATAGTGGGGGTGCTGAGAGCCATTGAACCAAACTGTAAGTCCTCTATATAATGGAAACCACTTCACATCAGGACATACAGAAGCACCCCTACTTCCAGCACCTGTGGAGACTGGGCATACTTGAGATGGAAGAGTCATTGAGTGAGAATAAATATGGAACCTAACATTTAAAAAAAAAAACCACAGTCACTTTGCTGATTGCAGTCTCACCCTCCAAGGTCTTGTCTGTATGGCAAGCTAGTGCATGGCAAGTGAGGGGGGTGAATCTACAACGCAAGCTAACTCACCATGTGGACCCTGCTATCATGCACTAAAAGTTCCATACAGGAAATTTTAGTCAAAGTCAAAGCACATTATGGCACTTTCAGTGCATGGTGGCAGGATCCACACAGCGCAGCAAGCTAGAATGCTGTAGATTCACACGCCTGGTTAGCCGCTCACTAATTTACCATGTACACAAGCCCAAAGCCAACAGATGGAGTTCTGCCTGCCAAGTCTGACCTGAACCAAGGACAAAGAGACTCAGAACAGTCTCCTATTTTAACCACGCTGAATTTCAGGGACAGTTTGGATTTAGATCCAAATTGTTCTATGGCTCTAGTGCTGGGTCAGACACAAACCAGTAGGACCTTCTTTTCTGGATGTAGCTCAAACCCTGGACATTTTTAATATTATTTCTAGAGCTTCATAAACATGTACAGTGTTTTTCAGACACATAAAAGAAAGTGTCCCTGGCTTCTTCCAGGAACATCCTTTCTTCCAAGATTTCCACCATTTGGGGCTGAAGTATGCAAGAACTCCTGGAGTCTCCCAGTGCCACTAACTTGATGTTTGACCTTGTGCAAGCAATTTAGGCTTGGATTTTAAAGAAACCAGTGGGAGTTAGGCACCTGATTCTTACTTACTTTTAACAGGAGTTGTGTGCTTATCTCCTTTAGGCTCCTTTGAAAATCCCAGTCCAAACTTACCTGGGTCTCAACTGCCCCCTCTCTAAAATGAGGAGAGCAATGCAAAACCTATCTGCCTACCAGGGATATTGTGAGGATTGATGATGGCACAGAACTTTGAAAATGAAGCAGTGCAAGGAATTCTCTTTTAAAGGCCATTTCCCTGACAGCACATATTGCCCTATTTTGCAAATACTCCCATGGACTTCAATGGAACTATTCACGGTGTAAAATACAATTCAGCATGAGAAAGGGGATCATGCTGCGGCTCACAGTCATTTCTGAAATCTGTAGATGAAAAGGGAAAAGGATAACCCAAGCAGCAGCTGATATTTTTTTAATTGCAAGATCAACACAAGAGATTTTTTTAAAAAGTTTGAAAGCCTGATCCGTATCTGCTCTCAGCAGAGCAGAGTTTGTACTACTTCCTTGTAGCCTATGTTTGTCCTTTTCTTTCTGTTGAAGCCATGTCTATATTTAGAGGCAGGGCTCAGGTTTCTTATGCCAGGATAGTGAAAGGTGACAGTCTCATCAGACACAGGCCATTGTGGCATGAAACCTTCTCTGACCCTGCTGACAGGAAGAGGTTTTAAACCACATGCTCGCTCATTCTCTGAGCATGTGACGATGAGGTCGTCATTAGTCAAAATTGCAACTGTTGCGATAAGCTCCTTAAATAAAAGCTGTGTCACAAAAGCAATGAAATATGAGATGCAAGCCAATGCACAGAGTACAAGGTATTAACAGCCAGGGAGACAGGCACAGCAAACAAGTTTCTTTGGCTGGACAGATTGACATAATCCAACAGGGGTATCTTTGGCCTGCTCTACACTGGAAAATTAAGTTGGCTTAAATAGGTCACTTGGATACTTGACAAATCCACGCCCGAGTGTTTTAATTAAGCCAATCTAACCCTCAGCGCAGACAGTGCCAGGTTGACCTAGCTAGCACCTCTGGGGGAGGTGGATTACCTACGCCAATGGGAAAATGCCTCCTGTTGGCACAGGTAGTGTCTACACTGAAGCACTACAGCGGCGCAGCTGTCCCATTTCAAGTGTAGACAAGCCCTTTTTTCCTGATCCCTGAGAATAGAGAAGCTAACATGCTGTTAGAAGGAACAAACCAAGGACAAACCCTGACAAGCTCTAGGCTGTACAATGGCCACATCATCAAACACCTCCGCATTTTAAAGGCTTACAATAACCACAATGGTTGTAATCTGCCTCCAAGGGACAACAAAATGGGATATTTTCTGACCCACTGGGATCAGTTGTTCTCACTTTCTTCTGGACATAAGTTGTAACATATTCTAACAATATCTAGCTGAGTTGGATGAATAGCATTTGGTAAGCAGGAAATTTGATGGATTAGTGGCCTTTGGAAAATGAGTTGGTCTCAGACCTGCTTCTATAAAACGTCCATTCCCCATTTGGGCTGGATCCCGAATAGTGGTGAGTGCTGAGTGGCACTCCCACTAGTTTGAATGGAGGAGAAGAGAACTCAAGTACAGAACAGCTGTGGAAAGTGAACTACCCAATCATATCTCGAGAGGGTCTCTCCAGGACAGGAGGGTGACACACTGCAGGATTTGCTGTACTGCTCCTCCCATTGTTTGCACATTACTGAAAACAGTGGCACACTCAAGATAGTCAATTATCCATTTTTAAAGTTACCTGCTCGTAAAGAATGAACTGGATGTCATATCGGGATAGCAGCAATGGCTAAGCCCTTGTTGTAAAAGGAAAAAGCAAAGAGAACCATATTCAAATGAGTGCAGACAGCCTGTTCAAATGTTAGGCTACTTTCCTCAAAGAAATGCCAGTTAGGACTTAATTTTCGCTCTCAGCTCCAAGAGGTGTCAGCACCTCTGAAAAGTCTTCCCCTCCGTGCTGCAGGCAGATAAACAGAGCAGGTAGAACAATGGGGAAATTTTGCAAAAGTTGGTTCACTTTTTTGTTGGGAAATTTTGAAATTCAGAGTTTTTCAGCCAGCTCTTCTAGTAATACTGCGCCTTTCTATACCCGCTTTCATGGAAAGGCTCTCTGCCCACATTTTACGGGCAGACCTGTGAGCCAAAAAGCTTTGCAGAAGGATGAGTATAGTTCCCACTACTGTGGATGAGGAAACCCAAACATAGAGGGGTGAAGGGCTGAATTGGCACCTTCCAGTTTGTCATGAGGAGAGGGACCAAATGGCAACTCAGTCACAGTTCAGTCCCTCCTCCCTCCTTGTTTCATGGTAGAAGTAAGCTGTTCCAGCCCTTCTTCTGGCATGCATCCCTTCCCCCTTCGTGCTAGCTTAGCTCCACTGGCAGGTTCATTGCGGGAGGATCCACCTTCACTCTGCACCCACTGGCACAGGATGGTGAGTAGGGTCTGGCACTGTGGGGTCAAGTACAGGTCCTTACACCTCCTTACTCCCCTATCTGCGTCTGCATCTGGAGTGATGAATGACTTGCCAAATAAGCCAATGGCCCACTATAGAACCTTGGAGGACATGTCTACACTGCACCTGGGACCATAGGCTTGCACGAGCAGAGCTCGTGCTAGCCTGCTAAAAGTAACTGTGTAGATGTTGTGGCTCAGGCTGGAACTCAGGCTCTGAAGCCTTGGCAGGTGGAGGTGAGATTCAGAGCCTGAGCCTCAATGTCAAAGGACCATCTACTCAGGTATTTTGAGTGCACTAGCATGAGTCTGGGAACCCGGGCTGGGAGGTTTGCCCTCAGATGCAATGTAGACATACCCTGAGTTTGTCTATCCTCAACCATCAGACTACATTCCCTCACAGATGATGTACCATGTCTGGTCTGATCATGAAAGTCTAGATACTCCTGTCTGCAGCGAGTTTGCCAGCAGTAGCCCGGCCAAGCTCAGCCTGGATGAACTCCATCAGCAGATACGGTGTAAAATAGTGACACCTGCTCTCTCTCTCTCTTATTTTCAGGCAGAGTATTAGTTCACTGTGCAATGGGGATCAGCCGATCAGCAACACTTGTACTTGCTTTCTTAATGATCTGTGAAAACAAGACCCTTGTTGATGCAATTCAGGCTGTGTGTAAACATCGAGGGGTCTGTCCCAATTCCGGCTTCCTCAAGCAGCTTCAGGAGCTAGACATGCGATTAGCGAGGGAGAAAGGAAGAGAAGCAGATCCCCTCAGATTTTAGATGGGGAGATGTCTTCTGATTACAGACCAAGAGATACAGGTTGCCTCCCGGAAGATTGTACCTCTTGCAAGATAGATGAACCCGGACTATGCTGTAGTTGCCTGGAGAAATCCATATGGGGCGAGCAGGGAGAGTTTGAGAGTTTGAAATTTCACCTCCTGCGGAAATACAAGCCAGATCCTCAGCTGGTGCCTGTCAATGTCGTTCCACTGGACTTATGCCAATTCATAACAGCTGACCATCTGGCCCCTTCATTGGATCCCCTCCCTCCCCGGCAAGCCTTAGTGGACTCGTTGGAACCCCAACAAGCCCTTGTAGGTTAGTTGGGGTTCCTCACAACCACCCCACACACTCTCAGACCCTCATAACGATCAACAGATATGTGAGGTCCCAGTCACACGCTGGAAGCTGATGCACAGCTGTGAAATTACTAACGCAACACAGTTAGAGCCCAAAGCCATGTTCTGAACGCTGCTATTTTATACAGAAACAACAATAGCTTCCATTTCCATTGGCTTTTAACCCCAGTGTCTCAAAACACTTGGCAAATAATTGGTTCAAGTCTCACAACCCCTCAGTGAGTAGGTAAGTAATGTTAGCCCCATTTTACATATGGGGAAATTGAGGCCCGAAGATGTTAAGCAAACTGCCCTACTGACGTACCGCAAATCAGTAGCAATGCCAGGAGAGGAATCCAGATCCTCTGGCATCTAGTGCCTGTTCTGTTCACATTCCCCATCTTTCCCTTTGATAAAGGAACGCTAACCTCATGTCAGAGCAAAACCAGACAATGCACCTACCAAATCCAAAGCAGCAGCTCTGTAGTCAGGTTTCCCTTTTACATCCAATTGACCACATTCTATCTCATGAACAACTGGAAGGAGATATTGACTTCAGTGCAATTACAGCCCCATGCAGCCCACTGGCAAATGCAAATAATATAGAATTTCCACTTGACGGCAGATTAATTTGGTGTGATGTTTTCCTTGGAGAGTTCTTAAAGGCTTGCAGTAGTGAAAGTGCCATGGAGCTTGTATTTAGAGTACTGTGGATTCTGAGCTGGAATAGAGGGCTGTATACACTCACCTGGAACTGCTGGGTTTTTAAACTGCCATGCAGTAACATTTTGACTGAGCACAGCACCCTTCCTGTGTGTGTCTCAGACAGCAATATGAAAACGAGACTTCCCTGCAGAGCTGGTGGCTAAACTCAGCTGATATTTTCCTTTTCAGAAGCACTGGTAAGCCTTTGCAACTGATGCTAAAGATTTGTATCCTCAAAGGGGTCAGGTGATAGCAAGGTTGGTTTCGTCTCCACTGTTAAGATAGGACAACTGGAAGAGGACCTATCCATCGGGGAATGGAGAAAGTGGCTGGTAGGGAGGTCACAGTTTATGATGGGGGCAGAGGGAGAAAGTCAGTGGTGTATTGCAGCTTTTCAAAGAAAAGCTCTAGGGATCATTTTAGGGATGCTGTGTTGTACAAGAGGTCAGGCTAGAGAATCACAGTGGTCCCTTCTGGCCTGGGAATCTATGACTCTAAGGTCTGAATGGCCTGCTTATTGGCAGTCTCAGCAGAGAGGCCAAGCATTTCAACAGACATGGAAACTGAACTACCGTTTCCCTGTTAGAGGTGGTCCCCCTCCATGTCAGGGGCAAGGCATATTGATGGGGCAGGGTGGGGAATCTTGTGTTGTCACTGCCTGACCTGTACCTGTTTTGTGGATAGAAGCCTTCACTCTCCACAGCTGTCAACCGGACACCTTTCCTGAGCACCGGTTTCACTTTAACTTGGCCTATGCAGTACGATGGGGCGTTACTGGGCAATCTGAGCAGAGTGCAGGTGATGTTAGAAAGGCACTAGTCCAAAGGCTCAATGCATTTATCCAGTCCAGAGATGTCATAACCCCACATCAATTCCAGGCCTCTCCATGATTACACAGTGGAATTAAAACAAAACTGCCAACGATCAAATGCGTTATTGACACGGGCCTTGCATTATAACAGGGGAACTTGGACTGTGACCCAGTCAGTGCTGTGACAAGGAAACATGACCAGATTCCTCAGGGGGCTCAAGTTCTTATCCCCTGACACCTCTCCACCAGCAACAGTAGCTCATGTTCAACAGCACACAGCAATGCAACACAAGCAGCAAACCTCACAATAGCAATGGCAGGACTCCCATGACCACCCCAAGTCACTGCAGGCCCAGCAGCATTAATTGAACTAGCTGATGAGGATAATAATATGAAACTTCTTCATGGTGGTGTTGTGAAGCTAAGTTCATGTGTGCAAAGCACTTTAAGTTGCTGGGATGAAAGGTGCCACAAAAAGTGTCACTATCTCATGTAGTCGTCTAGATTCTCTCTCTCAGCATGCAAGCAAGTGTTGACTCTCGGGCAGGCGTGCTGTGCTGTTCGCAGTTCTGGTTATGGACAGAGCTTTTGCATAGAGGCAGCTTTGGGTGAGAGGGAGCGATGTGAGCAGCGGGAGACTGAGTCTGGGGCTCTGATTAGAGTCAAGTCCTGAAGCAGAGCAGGCATTGGAGTTGGGCTAAGACATCTGGAAGAAGGGGTTGCCTGTATGCTGTTCGACCATCTCGTCAGGACCGGTACACGTGTGTAAAAAAAGCAAGTTACACTCAGACTATAACCAGACTCTGTGTCACTGATTTAGCCTCCGTAGGGAAGCTGACCTGCACAGTCTCAGACATCTCCAACTGCTTGAGAGGTGACACCATGGGCAGCAGCACAAAGTATTATACTAGATAACATTCAAAGCATACACACAGGGTTGATTTACCCTTCTCTTGGGAGAGGGACCCAGAGAACTAAAAGAGGCCAACCTGCAGGAGCTGAAAGTGAACCAATAGCACCCCACTGATAAGAGAAAGATAAGGAAAGCTTTCCCCTCCCGTAGTGGTCAGGTTAGCTCCCAGTTACTCCCCTTGAGTCATCCCATTTTGCCATAACTTCCAGGTGCTGGTGGGCAGCTAGTCCCCCTCTTTCTCCCTTTGAACTTGGTTTCATCACTTCACAGTTCCCCCGTCCCTTCCCTTCCCACAGGTATTTTTATGGATATAATAGGTGCTTGCCCGCCTGTTGAACACACGCAGTAGCAATGAGAGCATCTACTAAAATAAAGGCCCCAGCACAGGTGCATCTTGGAATTAATATTTTATGAAGATTAAGCAATCATAACCCTTGACTCACATGTGTTACACACACTGGTGGCTTCTTCCCACCAAGCTTAGTTACCACGTAGGAATTTCTTAAAGCACACTTAGCATCAGGACAAAAATCAAAGAGGCATTAGGGGTTGGTTCCAGATTTATTCTCACTCAACAGCTTCCAGATCCCATGTGCAAAGCTTGCTCACTGAGACAGCTTTTCAAGCTGTGAGCTCTGCAAAACCAATTTGGGAATCTGAGAAATCCAGCTGTTATTTCTGCCACTGCAATTCTCACCAGTAACAAGGAGTCTGATACCAGAACTTAGCTGGCAATTTTGCTGATCATGCACTAGGAGAATAGACTCCCACTCATTCTGCCATAGGTGTACTGACCCTGCAGTGCCAGTTCGAGTAAAACTTGTCTGCAAATGAACTCATTACTACTTGTGAGAAACACAGGCAGCAGATACTAGAGGCTGAGTAAGGTGGTAGCATTTTTCTGTCCATAATGGCAAGTGCAGAGCTAGTCATAACAGATACATGCATGTTCCCTCATAAGCATTCTCTTCTTCCCACCCACATTTTACATGGTATTATATGAGCACTAAGGATGATTTCATCACCATCTATTCATCTTAGGTGCTTATATAACTCCACCACCATTACTGCGGTATATGAGCCTTGCAATCTGCAATGTATTTATCCTCAAAATCCCTCTGAGAAAGGGAAATACTATTATTCCCATTCTACTGAGGGGGAACTGCGGCACAGAGAGGCTAAGCGACTTGTCCAAGGTCACACGGAATGTCTGGGGTAGATGAAGGAATTGAGCACCTGTCTCCCCAGTCCTGTGGCAGCTCCCCAACCACTGGTCCATCTTTTCTCCCCTTCTGAAGATATATTAACAACCTCTCTGGCTCTCCCTCCCAGACCTGCGTTAATGACAGTAATTATAGAGAACGTTGCAGCAGACACGTCTGTGCTGCATTATTCCTTCTTTGTTTCTGCACTTCGGGTTTTATTTGTAAAAGAAAAGAGAGACTATAAATCTGTCCTGTGAAGAGCTAAGGGAGGAGAGGCTACTGACTCCAAATAAGTAACATGAAAGGAGCAAGAATAGTGGCTTTTGCACTGGGGCTGATTTCCCAAAGAACAATTAAGGGCATTGCACAGATGTACACCATCTGGGGAGATGAATATGTGACTGAGGCAGCCATGACAGCTATGTATATTGGTCTCTTCATACCTCGGGGCATTAATTTATACCATCTCTCCAGAACTACAGATGCAAAACTTCCAGACATACCTCCACTGCTACAATGATAAATATGCCCCCCCCCCACACACACACACACACACACACACACACACCTTTCAAGATCCATGGGTCCTACACATGTCTGTCACAGCATGTGGTGTATCTCAGCCAGTGCATCAAATGCCCCAACAAACAACTATGAGAAACCAGGCAATAACTACGCTCTCAAAAGAACTCACACAGAAAAAAAAGATAAAAGATATATCCATAGCTGACCTATCAGTTCTCGTCCTCAAAGGAAACCCGCACAACACCTTCAAAAAGGCAAGCCTGGGAATTAAATTCATAACTCTACTGGACACTTAAAAAAAGGACTTAAAAGAGACACGGATTCTATGGCTCATTTACAACAATTTATAACACACCGTATGTACTGCCTGCTAATGCTTAACTGCCCACTTGATTTTAAGTGATCTCCTACAACATGTGTGAACCCCTTATGCTTCAGCGTGTCCCACCTTGTAATTAGCTTGGACACTCCAGTAATCTTCTCCAGACTGGAGGAAGAGATCTGTGAAGGTTGAAAGCTTGTGCCTTCCACCAACAGAAGTTGGTCCAATAAAAGATATTATCTGACCTCCCTTGTCTCTCTCACATCCTTGGACCAACTCAGCTACAAGAACAGGGCAAATATCCAGCTTTCTAGGATAGTTTCAGTGCAGTTATGAGAAGAACCCCCTCTATCGGGTTTTTATTTGTGTATGATGTGGTTGCTTTTGCTGTTCCTCTTCTACAAACAGCCTGGGCCTTTGCATCAGAACATATCATATTACTAGAACATTAAACATGACCATGATCTGTAATGCCTCAGCACGGGAAGGACTCATAGAGCAGGCTTAATTTGAGCACTTCCCAGTGTAACTCTTTGGCGTGCAACTTGCAATAAAAAGATACATTTGCTCTTTGAGTACAGTACCCTAAAAACACAACACAGATCTAACAGCCTGTATCCAGATCTGAGTTGCATTCCCCTTGTGCTCCCACCTGCCCTCCCAGGATTTTAAAGCATGCCAAAGCTCGTTTGCCCACTGTTAATTTGCCACTGTTGTTGCTTTTCATTCCATGTGTACCAGAGATAGCTCTGCTTTTGAGGAACGCCTAGCTGCCCAATGCTTTAGTATGAAGAGCTTCTGTGCAGGATACTTTCATGTTTTGAAAGATCACTTGAGATTTGTTCACAGTTAGGAATGTACATACATCTATTGGAATCTCATCAAGCTGGAGTCTTGGTCCTGATAGGCTTTGGCCAGTAAAACTTCCTTCAAACTTCTCCAGTTTCACTGCACCTTATGGACCAGATCCTCAGTTGGTGTAAATGAGCGTAGCTCCATTGAATTTGCTATTTGCAATGCACAAGAAGTTGTATTAGTTCTACAGAACTCAGAAACAATTATGCATTTTCTTGAGCACCACCTACTGACACTGTCAACGATTTTTAATTTTACACACACACACACACACCTCTATTTTATAGAGCTCTCCTGTAAAAATGCTAATTTATGCTCCTGTGGATCTGATCCTACATCTCCTCCTTTCACTTGTGACACCACAACACTTTTCTGCTACCCCATACCTGGAACAGTCACATTCCTTCGGTTTGCCAAGCAGTCTCATTCTCTTCCTTCCCCCATACAAATCTCACTTCTTTTAGAAGATCACTGTTGACAGAATGGACTAGTGGCTGTCACAGACACAGGCCTGCTTCAACAAAGTTTCCACTTTACTTCAGTCTGCAGTTATGCTTAGGTTTTCTCAGTTGACTTCTGGGCTCATATTTGAGTCCATACTACCACCAAATCCTTGCCTGCATTTCCATGGCTCTGCCTCAGTTTTCAGGCACTAGGAAGACATGGTTTCAGGCAGGGAAGACAGAACTATCAGAAAGAGAATAAAAACTCTTGATTAAATATTTATAATCAAATTGGCATATAAAGATGACAAATTAAATACATTCACAGATTTCAAATCTGTTCTTGGAGAAATTACTCGGGAGATGAAACACCTCTCTCCAATACAAGCCCCCAGGGAAAAATATAAATATTCCCATAATAATAAAAGCTGAAAATCTGCAAAGCAAAAATGCAACCAAGATTCAATTCATATTTCTCCACAGCTGATTTAAAAAACATTTCCTGACTAGTGCCCAAAGTAGCCTCCCTCTGAAAGAAAAGTGCCAGTCTCCAGTGGACACAATCTCCCACGTTACCCACCTTTGACAGGGCCTGATCCTGTAAGGTGCTTAGCATTCTCCATACCCACTGAAACCAAGGGATCTTGAGGTCACTCAGGAGGCACTTAGCACCATAGACAATCAGCCCTGGGTTGGGAGCACACAAATGGTCAAGACTCCACAGAGACAGAATCCTGATTCCTGCTGGGGTTCTTAGCTATTCATGCTGTACTGTATGTAAATCAATACTTTGGTGGATAAAAGCTGGAGATGAGTTAACACATATTCGGATTCAACATAAGTGTTTACTCAAATAAAAAGCTGAACTTGCTTCAGCTGTGTTTGCTCTCTTTTGGCATTTGCTCCCCATTAATATTTGAGAAAATGAGCCTGATTCCAGGACTGCTCACCGAGGCAGCCAGTTTTAAGTAAACATTAGCTGGCAGCATTCTTTTAACTCATATATGGGAGTATTCTCACTGGAAAACTGATTATAAGAGTTATACCTATCCAGTCAGAAAACAGAGGCAGTACCATGTGACCTACATGTCCAATCCAATGAAAGCTAACCAAAATACATCTCCAATGTGTTGATATCAAATATCTTCAACAAGCCACTCGTGAACAATATACAGACCAAAATTATTGACCATATCCTTTTCTATGAATATTTCCTGGATAGCAGTCATATTTGCAATAAACTATTAGAGAAAGAGGAGGCTTGGAATTTTTAAATGAAAAATGTCAAAGTCAACAATTTTTCATAAAGTTGTTAAAAAAAAATCACAGCAATTTTTTGACAAAAATCCACCTTTCTAAAGAAAAAAAAATACCAACCAGCTCTAGCTACAAATTATTTGTTCAGATCTAGTGACAACTGACTGTTACTAGAATTATTCTGACACACTGTTCCAGAGAACATCTGTTTCCACTCTGACTCCTTTAACTTTCAGATGTGAACAACAAAAGCTTATTGTCATGCCATGCCTTCCATCTCCAGTTGGCAACAGCCTCATGATTATGAAGTTATTGTTATGCTGGATGTTCTGTTTGTCAGTTTATATTTTCCTTTGGTATCTATTTTTAGGTGCTCATTAGCATTCCGTGGGCCCTCTCCTATAAATCTTAAACCTTTATAGCACATCTTGACAACTCATTTCATGGAGCCAACCTCCAAGGAAAGGAAACCCAAACCACTTCCCCCCGCTTAACTGAATAAGATTCATTCTCAAGTCTTTTAAACTTCAAACTCAACATTTTCCCATCTGCTCTTCAGACACCACAGCCCTTTTGCGCTACCAATATTTTATTCTCCATTCATAACCCTTTATTTCCCCCAAGAGGTTTCCAGATGCTTTTTAGTCTGCTACGCTCATGGAAGATTTGGATTTTAAGTTCACTTTTCTCCCACTGCACCCAACCGTCAGGAAAAAATTATTGAGGTGGCTGAATGGCTATCACTCCCTCACAACAGTTACCTAGCAAAGTCCAAGGGTCACAGATTGTTCTTAATGCAATGTTTGTCCTTCCAGAGTGACTAGCCAACACCACAGACTATCTACATTATTTTTTAAAATTTTTCATTTTCTTTTCACTATTTACGTGGTTTGTTGACTTCCATTTCCATCAGCTTCGAGAAGGATGGAAAAAAGTTTCAACTGACCAATTTCAACCACTATTGGCTGTGCATTGTTGGGGCACCAGCACTGCTGACATCAAAGGCAGCTGAACTCACAGTACAGGGAGCATTCCAAACAGCTTTGCTCTGTAAATGAACTCTGGACTGCTCCAGGATCATCTTGACCGGATGACATAACGCCGTGGCTCTGCGGCAACTCATCTAACGCTACCTGTCTGTACTGGATGCCCTGTTCATAATGATGATGATCGGGATTGTGCTGCTCAGCGGTGCTTCCTCCATCCTGACTGACAGAAAGTGTTGGTATGCTAAAAATCAGAGGAATTATAGGATACCAGGAAAGGAATTGTGGGAGTTTGACCCCCAAGCCCTAGGGTTCCGGATGGTATCCCATGATCCCACCACAAGAAAAACCAAGCAAGCGACAGAACATGGTATATCGGGCCAGAACACAGAGTGATTATTTTCAAAAAGCAGAGAGCTGCCTAGTCACAGTGTCTCACAAAAGAAAAATTAGATTAAGACAGCATAAACATGGGGTGGACAAAAAGTAAAAGTCATGGACAGATGTAGTTATACTGGTAAACTTATAGTGGGAAAACGTATATTGGAAAAAACATTCCCATCTAGACAAGCCTCAAGGCAGATGGGCAGAATCCCTTGCTGTGCCTTTGTAGTAACACTTCATTTTAACTGAAGATGAGTATGAGATAAAAAATTCAGATCCTAATCTAGATTTCAAACACCCTGAACGCTGAGGTTTTTGGACCTGGGGATTTTGGTTCAGTCTACTCTGGTAACAGCAGCAAATTGAAAACCTTGATCTGGAATCAAATTTGGAATCAGATAAGCACACATAATGCACCACTTAGTTTTGTGAGCAAGAAGTGCAATATTGTCAGCCCCAAGTGTTCAGAAATGATGGGAAAGCTCCTGCCCCAGCCCGTCCAATCATGAGCACGGTTTATAAGTCATGATATTTGGGGTTCTTTTTACTTGCCTTTTAAGGTTCACTGTTTAATGCTTTCATCCACAAAAGAAACTGACTTCTTTTACAAAAATGAAAGCTGAGGGTCTCAGAGGAAATGACGATTTAAGAAACACATCAATCTGAGATGCAATAAAATTGCGAGGGTTGGAACATTGCCAACTGGCATGCCATGCAGGGGTACTGGTGCTAACACAGATACAACTACAGGCTGTTGAATATACTTGGCTATGCCCTAAAATTAGAAGCTCTCAGGAAGGAATACATCTATACCAGTCCACACAAGAGATCCACTTCCTGGACACTATGGTACTAATAAGTGATGGTCACATAAACACCACACTATACCGGAAACCTACTGATCGCTATATACTTACCTACATGCCTCCAGCTTTCATCCAGACCACACCACACCATCCATTGTCTACAGCCAAGCTCTACGATACAACCGCATTTGCTCCAACCCCTCAGACAGAGACAAACACCTACAAGATCTCTATCAAGCATTCTTATAACTACAATACCCACCTGCTGAAGTGAAGAAACAGCCAGAAGAGTACCCAGAAGTCACCTACTACAGGACAGGCCCAACAAAGAAAATAACAGAACACCACAAGCCATCACCTTCAGCCCCCAACTAAAACCCATCCAACGCATCATCAAAGATCTACAACCTATCCTGAAGGACGACCCATCACTCACAGATCTTGGGAGACAGGCCTCACCAGCAACCACACACCACACAACAGAACCACTAACCCAGGAACCTATCCTTGCAACAAAGCCTGTTGCCAACTGTGTCCACATATCTATTCAGGGGACACCATCATAGGGCCTAATAACATCAGCCACACTATCAGAGGCTCGCTCACCTGCACATCTACCAATGTGATATATGCCATCATGTGCCAGCAATGCCCCTCTGCCATGTACATTGGTCAAACTGGACAGTCTCTACGTAAAAGAATAAATGGACACAAATCAG